CACGGGTGCCGGGCCCCCAGGGCTGGTCCCACGTCTCTCACCCGTCGTCCTGCCGGCCAGTTTGTTCATGAGGTAGGACTTGCCGGTGCGGTACAGCCCGGCGATCGCCACCACCACCACGGGCTGGGCGATCTCCTCCAGCACCCGCAGCGCCTCCTGCTGCACCCGCAGCTCCCCCCCGGGGCTGTTCTCGATCAGGCAGATCGGCTTCTCCATGGCGCCTGGGGGCAGCAGAGCAGAGGGAAGCTGAGGGGGGCAGGGAGGGGGCCCTTTCTGCCACCCCCAGGCAGCGGAGCCGTTTCCAACATTGCCATTGGTGTTCCGCGTGGCACTAAGACTCACGAACACGTTACGCCCGGTCCAGCCGGGGCGTGGGTTGAAATCGTGGGCCGCCAGCGCCACGAGACGGGGCCGCAGTCGGAAGAGACACGCCTAGGTCGGGGGGCTGACACGTGAGGTCTGTGAGGTGTCAGCCTGTGTACTCGCTGTCGGCCGGACACACGCAAGAGGCCCCGGAATGACCCAGGGCCAGACAATTACGGGGAAGTTGGACCGACAGAGGAACTGCAGCCAGGCGCCCCTTCCCCACCCTCTCCGCAGCACTCACTGTACGGAAAGTGAAACCCTGCACACCGCTTCTCACCAGAGAACACAGCGGACAGGAACGTGACGCTCCACCCCTTTTTTTTAGGGAAATACATTTTTTAACCCAGATATGCTCAACTCAGATCTGCTTTATGCAAGATGCAGCATGTTAAAAAACTGGTAACCCACTGAACGTGCAGCTGCTCCTTCTGTGCGTGGAGCACTATTACAGGGGACGTTTCAAAGAGGAAGTGTAAACCTGCTTATTAATCTAGGTCTTGAAGTCCCACAAATGGTGTCACTTAAGGAACTTAATGGCCTGGTGCTCAAGTCAATGATCTGTGAATGGGTTTGTTTCTCTTGTGAGCGCAGACTTCAGCAACGTACGTTGAGCCCTCTGCCTCACTTGCACCCACAGAAGCCCTCCCTCGGATGGTTAAGAAATCACTTTTGTTTCTTATTCAACCCAATGTAAAGCGTCCCCTGGGGAGGGGCAGAGCCACACCTGAGACTCCGCTGCCTGGGGGTGGCAGAAAGGGCCCCCTCCGTGCCAGCTGGCTCTTTCCTGGACAAAGAGACCAAACAGTGTTATGAGCTTTCCCTGTGCGAAGCGTTTATAGGGCGCAAGATGGATTTATCTGGGGTTCTAATCCCACTGGGACTGTGCTCCCGGGTGCTGACTGTGAAGGCAGGCTCTTTGCTGGCCAGGCCTCGCGCATATCACCATCCAAGCAAAAGGTCAACTTCTCCTTAATGGAAAAACCTTACGCTATGTAACTTAAAGATCAGAGAAGAACAGGACCCGAAACCAGACATGAACAGTTCGTGTAAGGTTCCTGCTGGTTGTGCCGTGCCTGACAAGACAGAAAGGGAAAAACAGGAAACCATCTCACCCCTTACTCCTGTCAATCAACAGACAGGGTCTGCTAGCCTATCACAGAAAGCATGCAAAAGCTCTCTCTATAAAACAGCTTCCCCTCCTGTATCAAATTAAGAATTCCCGAGTAAAACATTGGAAGGCAGAATACGAGCCCGGTCCCCAGAGCCATCTCCCGCTCACCGAACCCAAACGAGGTCTGGAGAGCGTGACGTATACCAACGTATTTCCAGTAGGGATAAGGAGTGTTAGTGCCGTTATACAAGGCATTGGTGAGACCCCAGTTGGAATACTGGGTGCAGTTCTGGTCTCCCGTGTTTAAGAAGGATGAATTCAAACTGGAACAGGTACAGAGAAGGGCCACTCGGATGATCGGAGGACTGGAAAACCTGTCGTATGAAAGGAGACTCACGGAGCTTGGCTTGTTTCCCTTAACCAAAAGGCGGCTGAGGGGGGACATGCTTGCACTTTTAAATATATCAGAGGGGTAAATACCAGGGAGGGAGAGGAATTATTGAAGCTTAAGACCAATGTGGACACAAGAACAAAGGGATACAAGCTGGCTAGTAGGAAGTTTAGACTTGAGCCAGCTCGGCTCCCGAGGACCCAGGTTCGGATCCGCCTGGTGGTGGGTACAAGTGGTTTGTCTGCCAGCCCCTGCCTGTGGGGCAGCCTGCCCTTCCCCAGCCCCACATAGTTAACCCTGGGAAGTCTCGGGCCAAGGGACCTGTCCTGGTGCACTGAGCCCTCCTGTGGCCTCTGCCCGCAGCGATGGCAGGTTAGGTCCTGCAGGCCCCTTTGGGCCAGCTCCGCCCGGGCCCTGGCTGCTTCTCTGGGGCGCAGACGACTTGTCTCTTGGGCTCGCCCCGTAGGTGACTCTTTCTGTTGCTCAGCCGAGATCCGGTCTCTGCGCGGTTCCCTCTCTCGCCACGATTCCCGTTCACCCCCGGACCTTAGTTCCTGTGGGCCCCTTCAGGCGGCTCCGCCCAGACCCTGGCTGGTTCTCGGGGATGCAGACAGCTGGTCCCTGTCTCTTGGGCTCGCCTCAGAGGTGCCTCTCTCCATCGCTCAGCCGAGAACCGGTCCCTGCGCGATTCCCTCTCTCCAGGACTCCTGTTCACACCCGGACCGGCTCTCCATGAACTCGTCCGCCGGCCTCCTGGGTCCTCTGGCCTCCGGTCCTGGAGCCAGGCCTCAGGCTGGGCGGGCAGGCTCCATGAACTGCTCCGGCATCATCAGCTTAAGCAGCTCCTCTGCGGCCTGGGCCCCGCCCCGCACACCCACTTGCGGCAGGATTGCGCAGGCGGGAGGCCAGATCCACATGGGTCTCCCTTGGCCCCTTCTGCAGCCCCCGGAACCTCTTCCTGTACATCTTGGGGGTCAGCCTGGAGCCTCTCTGATCCGCTTGTCATCGCCCAGCTGCAAATTCTCCAGCTGGCTGAGCCCCCTGCGGCCTCCTGATCCAGCGTGGGGCTGAGCTGCCAGAGTCAGTCCGCTGGGGGATGGTGCAGCTCACAGGCCCGCTCAGAGGAGCTGAGGAACCGTCCACGTCCCCCACGTCTTTCCATTGGGCCGACACGTGCCAGAGTCAGTCCGCTGGGGGATGGTGCAGCTCACAGGCCCGCTCAGAGGAGCTGAGGAACCGTCCACGTCCCCCACGTCTTTCCATCGGGCCGACACGAGCGTCTCCGAGCGTCTGGCCGCCCCGGCTTCT